CTGTTTCATGGGACAGTGGGTTTCTCACTGCTCTCCTGCACACTGTAAATACATTTTCAATTCCACTCTGCCACGGCAATGCTGTGGACCAATTCTTCTGTGAAATCCCCCAGATCCTCAAGCTTTCCTGCCCACACTCATCCCTCAGGGAAGTTTGGCTTCTTGTGATTAGTGCCTGTGTAGTCTTTGGGTGGTTTATATTCATTGTGGAGTCCTATGTGCAGATGTTCACTGGTTGTGTGCAGGATCCCCTCTGAGCAGGGACGGCACAAATCTTTTCCCATGTGTCTCCCTCACTTTCTGGTGATCTTTCTCTTTGTCAGCACTATCCTTCTTGCTTACCTGAAACCCCCCTCCACCTCCTTCCCATTCCTGGATATATTGGAAGCAGTTCTGTACCCTCTGGTGCCTCCAGCTGTGAGCCCCCTCATCTACAGCATGAGGAACCAAGAGCTCAAAGACGCACGAAGCAGCTGATCCATTCTTTTGTCTCTCAACAGCAATAAGCTGCCAAGGTCTCTTCACTGGTAATATCCAATTCATGTTCATAACCTCTTCTGCTTTGGACATTTTACCCGTGATAACCTTGTTTGTTCAGTAATCATACTTCTACTCCTCTGCTCCAGAGGCTTGAACCCAGGCTTTTTGACCTGGAGGCATTTTATGTGGACCTAGAAGGACAGTACAGCTAGTCTGCCATGTTGTATCTCTGTAATTAAAGGGGATTTCCTCAGGAATGGTGTCAGGAGGCTGAGCTCTTCTTCTGAAACCGAGGTCAAGTCCACTACTAAACCATGTCCCTAAGCACCTCATGTAGACGTCTTTTAAATACCTCCAAGGATGGTGACTCCACCACTTTTCTGGGCCGCCTGTTCCAGTGCTTCCCAACCCTTTCAGGGTTGTCCCAGTATCAAATTGAACCCTCTCGTGGTGCAGCTTGAGGTCATTTCCTCTTGTTCGGTCACTTGTTACATAGGACAAGAGACCGACACTCACCTCGCTACAACCTCCTTCCAGGTAGTTGTAGAGAGCGATGATGTGTCCCCTCAGCCTCCTTTTCCCCAGACTGAAAAACCTCATTTCTTTCATCTACTCCTCATAGGACTTGCTCTCTAGATCCTACACGAGCTTCCCTGCCCTACTTTGGACATGCTTCAACACCTCAATGTCTATAGTGTAGTGAAGGGTCCAAAACTGAACACAGGATTCCAGGTGCGGCATCACCAACGCCGAGTACAGGGGCATGACCACTTCCCTACTCCTGCTGGCCACACTA